AAGACCCCCAATGAGATGGATTGGCCAGGTGGCGGCATCTATGGACTCAAGCGTGACAACAGTAGTGAAGTTGGCCCAGGATTGGGCAATGTTTTGTTCTGTTGTGCATAGTGTTGCTATGAGTCGGTGCTAACTTGATGGCACCTAACAACAACAACAACAACAACAACAACAACAATGTCCTCCAGGTTCATTCATGTTATAAGACGTTTTGTGGATTCATTATTATTCTTTAACATGATGCAGATTCCACTGTATGTATCATAAGTTTGATTATCCATTCATGTGTTCATGGGAACTTAGATTGTTACCATCTTTTTGTTATTGTGAATAATGGTGTGATTGATGTGAGTGTGCATATTCCTATTTGTGCCATGGCTCTCATTTCTCTAGGTTATATACCAATAGTGGAATTGCTAGATCATATGATCTCCCTGGTGTAATGCTGTAGGACAGGCACAGGACTGTTAACTACAAGGTTGATGGTTTAAATCCACCAGCTGTTCCTTAGGGTTCTGTACAGAGTTGCTATGAGTTGGATCTGACGTAATGACATTTAACATCAACAACACGATACTCCTATTTCTAACTTTTAATGAAGCTCTCCATAGTTTTCCACAGTGGTTACACTATTTTATATAATCCCTCCAGCAGTATATGGAAGTTCCAGTATCTCCATCCCCTCGCCGGCATTTGTTGTTTTTTTTGATCCTTGCTGAGATGAGATGATATTTGCAGTTTGATTTGCAGTTCTCTAATGGCTATTGGAAGATACAGAAAGCAGCAAAAGAAGATGGAAGGAATACACAGAGTCACTGTAATAAAATCAAATGGACAATGTTCAACCATTTCAAGAGATAACATATGATCCAGAACCCATGGTACTGAAGGTAGAAGCCCAAGGCACTTCTGAAGACATTGGCAAAGAACAAGGCTCTGGGAATAGATGAAATACAAATTGAAATCTTTCAAAAAACTGATGAAGCACTGAAGGTACTCACTCATCTAGGCCAAGAAATTTGCAAGATAGCTACTTGGCCAATCCACTGGAAGAGATGTATATTTGTGCACACTTCTAAGAGAGACGACCCAACAGAAGTTTAACATCATTGGACAATGTCATTAATATCCTATGCAAGTAAAATTTTGCTAAAGATAATTCAAAAAGCAACTGCAACTGTCAGGAACTGCCAGAGGTTCTAGTTGCATTCAGATGAGGATGTGAAAAATCACAACAGAATGAAACTGCTGACGTCATATAGATCTTGGATGAAAGTAGAGAATACCAGAAGGATACTCACTTGTGCTTTATAGATTATTCAAAGGCTTTTGACTGTGCATCATGACAATCTATGGACACCATTGCAGAGAATGAGTATTTTGGAACATTTAATTGTGGTCATGAAGAACCTGTAAGAGACCAAGACAGTCATTCAAATATGACAAAGAGGCATTGGATGGTTTAAAATCAGGGTTGTATTCTTTCATCATATTTATTCAATCTGTATGCTGAGCAAAGAATCTGAGACGCTGTATTACATGAAGAAGAACATGGCATTAGGATTGCAGGAAGACTGCTTGCTGAAAGCAAAAAGGACTTAAAATACTTACTGATAAAAATCAATGGCCACAGACTTCAGTATGGGTTACACCTCAATGTAAAGAAAACAAAAATTCTCACTCCTGGAGCAATAAATAACATCATGACAAATGGAGAAAAGATTGACGTTGTCAAAAACTTCATTTTGCTTGGATTCACAATCAACACTCATGGAAGCAGCAGTCAAGAAAAACAACATATTACATTAGACAAATCTGCTGCACAAGACCTCTTTAAAGTGTTGAAGAGCAAAGATGTCAGTTTGAAAACTCAAGTCCACTTGATCTGAGCCATAGTAATTTCACACATGCATGTGAAGGTTGGACAGTAAATAGGAAGGCCATAGAAGAATTGATGCATTTGAGTTATGGTGTTGGAGAAGAATATTAAAAGTGCTATGGGCTGTTAGAACAAACACATCTCTGTTGGAAGAGGATGTGTTTGTACAACCAAAATGTTCCTTAGAAGCCAGGATGGCGAGACAGTCTTTCATACTTTGAACATATTATCAGAAGGGACAAGTCCCTGGAGAAGAACACCAGGCAAGGTAAAGTGGAGGGTCAGCAAAAAAAAACAGTAAGAATTCCAATGATTTGGGACAGTGGCAGCAGCAATGAACTCAGTTTACCAACAATTGTGAGGATGGTACAGGACCAGGCAGTGTTTCATCCTGTTGTGCATAGGGTGGGTATGGGTGGGAACGACTCGATGGCACCTAACAACAAAAACAATGGTGAAAAATCATGACAACCTTCAATGAGTTCTTTAAAAAAAATTTTTTTTTTTATTGTGAATTGAGTGATCAATTTTTCATTAAATAATTCATACATGTTTTGTTTCGTGTTGATTGCCATCCTCACGATGTAACGTCACTTTTCCCACTTCCTCCCTGTGCTTCCTGTTTCAGCCCTCTTGTTTCTTAATCTTTCTAAGTTGTTTTAAGGTGTGTGTCCTTCACTAGTATTATTGTTTTCCTTCTAGAGCTACCTATTGTTTGGCTAAGGAGTTCTGGTAGAGTAGTGATTATGAGTTGGGCTTCGAACCTCAAAGTCAGCAATTCTAAACTACCAACTGTTCTCCGTGGGAGAAAGATGAGACTTTTTGCTCCCGTAAAGATTTATGGCCTTGGAAACCCTATAGAGGATCGCTATGAGTTGGAACCAACTCCGCAGCACATAATCAATCAAATCAATTGTTTGGTTAAAAAATGAGCCATGGGTGTGAGTTCATTTCCATAACTGAAGGGAGACTAAGTGTCATAGTCTTGGGAATTCCACCAGTCTCTAACCAACCAGTAAATCTTGTCTTTTTAAAAATATATTTTTGAGTTTTGCCCACATTTTTCTATTACTGTACCCAGGACCTTTTTAATGTGATTCTATTCAGACCAGCCACCAATAAATTTTGTTATCTTATTTAGCCATATTCATTCTGGAATATGTTGTTGCTGTTACTAAGTGCCATAGAGTCAATTTGGACTCAAAGTGATCCTGTATAGGGTTTCCAAGGAGTGGCTGGTGGGTTTGAACCACCAACCTTGTTGTTAGCAATTCAGTGCTACAACATCACAAAAAATACAATACAATTCTTACCTTTCTTGTGGGAGACCTGGGTTCAGATTCTGGCCAAAGTATTTCATGTACGACCACTAATTTTAGAGATTTGTGTGTTGCTGAGTTGCTGAAAAAGTTTCATCAGAGCTTCCAGACCAAGATGGACTAGAAAGAAATGTCTGGAGATCTATTTCCAAAAATCAGCCAGTGAAAATCCTACGCATTATGGGGATCCAATTTAGAAGTGATGATGGACATGGCACAAGATTGGACAGCACTTTGTTATGTTGTGTATAGGTCACTGTGAGTCAGGGCCTGACTTGATGGCAGTCATCAACAACAGCGCCACACCAGTACTCATGTTGCATAGAGCAGAGAGTAACCCTGAGGGAGGCTAATCACTGAGTTGCTAATCGAAATGTTGAGAGTGATTTGAACCCACCAGCCACTCCATGGGAGTGAGATGTGGCAGTACACTTCTATAATTATAGCCTAGGAAATCCTATAGGGCAGTTTCATCCTGTCTTCTAGGGTGACCTTGTTGTTGTTAAGTGCCGTCGAATCGGTTCTGACCCATGGCGACCCTAAACAGGGTTTCCTAGGGTATAAATCTTTATGGGAACAGAAAGCCTCATCTTTCTCCCGTGGAGCAGCTGGTAGTTTCGAACTGCTGACCTTGTGGTTCCCAGCCCAATTTATAACTACTATGATACCAGAGCTCCTACTTCTATAATTATAGCCTAGGAAATCCTATAGGGCAGTTTCATCCTGTCTTCTAGGTTTACCCTGAGTCAGAGTTCACTTGAAAGAAATTGGCCTTTTTTTTTTAGGCATCAAGGAGGAAGCAGAGTTTAGTATTAATGAATATTGTCAACATTTATGGATCGCTTACTAGGCATCAGTTACCTCTCATTGCAACCCTAAAGTGTACCCTGTTGTCACCCCATTTTAAAGATGAAGAGGTTAAATAAAGAAAATGTCAGCAAGTTTTCCAAGGGCGTATGGTTGCTTACTGACAGATGAAGGATTGACAACGAAATCGTCCAATTCCATAAGTTGTTTGCTTGATAACCAATGCGTCAAGGAATGAGAGTAGAGGGAGTTGAGGAGTTTGTGGTCTGGGAATACGATAGATTTTGGTGGTAAACTATTTCTGTATAGTAACAGTCAAACGCTCTTGCAGGACTTGAGTTATCTGAATTTAGAGTGATGACAGAGATGTTTGGAGGGAGAAAGACCAGGAAGTGTGAGGGCAAGAGATGCACGCGTCATTGAGCTGTGGTGTGCGTGTGTCCTAACACTGATCTCTTCGCAGGAGCAGCTCTGATGCTTTGAGCATATGGAGGATACCAACCAAACTGGGATGATTCACTTCCACTTCCGCCCCTTCTCCAAACTCCCTGAGGTGCAGATGCTGATTTTTGTGGCCTTCCTGATTATGTATCTGGTCAGCATCAGTGGGAATGTTTCCATTTCCATTATCATAGGGATCCATCATTCTCTTCACACCCCCATGTACTTCTTCCTGGCCAATCTGGCAGCCCTGGAGATCTGCTATTCTTCCACCATAGCCCCTCTGACTCTGGCCAGTGTCCTGTCCCCGGAGAAAACTATAATCTCCCTTCCTGGATGTGGTGTCCAGATGTTCCTCTTCATCTTCCTGGGCAGTGCAGATTGCATTCTGCTGGCCATCATGGCCTATGACCGGTTTGTGGCCATCTGTCACCCTCTGCGCTATACTCTCATCATGAGCTGGCGGTTATGTGTCCAACTGGCTCTGGGGTCTCTGGTGTTGGGATTCATCTTGGCCATGCAACTGACTGTGCTCATCTTTCAACTCCCATTCTGCAGCAGCAAAGAGATTAGTCTCTTCTACTGTGATGTCCTCCCTGTCATGAGACTAGCCTGTGCAGATACCCGGGTTCATGAGGCCACTTTGTTTGTGGTCAGTGTCATTGTCCTCACCATCCCATTCCTGCTCATTAGTCTTTCGTATGTTTTCATAGTGTCTGCCATCCTGAAGATCCACTCGGCAGAGGGGAGACACAAGGCTTTCTCCACCTGCTCCTCTCACCTCACTGTGGTCCTCCTCCAGTATGGATGCGGAAGCCTCATCTACTTGTGCCCCAGCTCCAGCTACTCTCCTGAGAGGGGCCAGGTAGTGTCTGTGGTTTACACGTTCATCACTCCTGTGCTGAACCCCATGATCTATAGCATGAGGAACAGAGAGCTTAAGGATGCTTTGAAGAGAACAGTGACGAGGTTCTTGCTGCCCCAAACACAATGAGCACACTCAATGATCATCGGAAACGTTGTTGGGGAAGACAAATGAGTACACTGTCTGAAAGATGTGGAGGAAAGGGGACCAAGAAGTCACTGGTTCTACACTTTTACTTCTTTCTGATTATATTGTTTTTGAAAAGTCATTGCCCGTTTCTCAACCTCAGGTTCTTCATCTGTAAAATGGGGATTAAAATGCTTGAAGAATCTAAATAGTTTTGTTGCTGTTGAGTAGGTATTTACTCAGGCAACCTTATGTGTCTTGTGTCTTCTTCATGATTGTTGGTATGTTTGAATCTGTTGTTGTAGTTGTTGCATAGTGCCTTCCAAGTTGGGGGTAATTCTGTTGTAGTTATGAGGATGAAAATGCTTTCGGACTTCTAGTGTGGTTGTTAATGTCCTCACCAATCTATGTAAAGTCTTTGTCCTTGGAACTACCTTAGAGACAGCTTTGACATTCTTGTTATTGTTGTTAAGTGTCGTGGAGTTGGTTCCAACTCATAGCGACCCTGTGTAGGGTTTCTGAGGAGCGGCTAGTGAACTTGAACCCTTGACCTTGTAGCTCAAACTGACCTTACACATGAATCCACAGCACCACACCAGGACTCCTTACATTCTTATTGCTGTTGTGAAGTGCCGTTGAGTCGATTCCGACCCATAGAAACCCTGTACAAGGTTTCTGAGGAGCAGCTGGTGAGCTTGAACCACCGACCTTGAACTTCAGACGGCTTTGCAGTCTGATGCATTAACCCACAGCGCCACACCAGGACTCCGCTTATGTTCTTAGGGACCTCAAACTTGTACATATTTGAAGAGATAAAGTTAAGAATAAGGTGTAAATCAAACTGGATTATCCCAGTCACTCTCCCATAATTCCCATGGTGTAAATGCTGAGTCTGTGTCTTTTTGAATCAATTCTCTATCTTTGAAAGACATTAAAAAAAAAAAGAAAAAGCTTTTTATTGTGAAGTGGGTGAAGGTCTAGAGAGCAGATCAGTTTTCCATTCAGCCATTCACGTACTTTGCTTCATGTCATTTATTGCAACCCCAATATGTAACACCACATATCCTGTTCTCTCTATCCTCTCTAACACACTCACACATACGCACACTCATGTATACACACATACCTCACCTTTCCCTTTCTTTATGGCTATCCCTAGTTGTGTATACATCACATGGAAAAATACTTTGCTAATTGATCTTTCTGTGTAGGATGAGGGCCATATTGGTTCCAATCTGGATTCAGGTAGAAGAAATTAATTCTGTGAAGGCAAACACTGTCTGGATACAGCCAAGTGGAGAAAGGACTCATAGTCACATGGCTCTGAAGAATCAGAGTAAGATGATAACCATTTTCATGATAGTCATTCACTTCAAGGCACTGGTATTGGAACAAAGATGATTTGCTGGCTTTTGGTAGGGTAGCAGAAGCTCATTTATCTCTCTTATCATTGATTACTAGGTGATTTATCTTTTCTGCAAATATTATTATATTCATTATGTACTATGTACCCCCTGTATGCTGAGCAAATAATACGAGAAGCTGGGTTCTATGAAGAAAAACGTGGCATCAGGATTGGAGGAAGACTCATTAACAACCTGCAATATGCAGATGATATAACCTTGCTTGCTGAAAGTGAAGAGGACTTGAAACATTTACTTACGAAGATTAAAGAGCACAGCCTTCAATATGGATTACATCTCAATGTCAAGAAAACAAAAATCCTCACCACTGGACCAATAAACAACATTCTTATCAATGGAGAAAAGATTGAAGTTGTCAACATTCGTGGAAGCAGCAGTCAAGAGATCAGATGACGTATTGCACGGGGCAAATCTGCTGCACAGGAACTTTTTAAAGTATTGAAGGGCAGAGATGTCAGCTTGAGGACTTTGAGGACTAAGGTGCGCCTGACCCAAGCCATGGTATTTTCAATAACCTCATATGGATGCGAGAGCTGGACAGTGAATAAAGAAGATCGTAGAAGAATTGATGCCTTTGAGTTGTGGTGTTGGAGGAGAATACTGGAAGTGCCATGGATGCCAAAAGAACCAATAGATCTGTTTTGGAAGAAGTGCAGCCAGAGTGCTCCTTGGAGGCCAGGATGGCTAAGCTTCGTCTCTCATACTTCGGACATGTTGTCAGGAGGTAACAGTCACTGGAGAAGGATGTCATGCTGAATAAGGTGGAGGGGTGGAGAAAAAGAGGAAGACCCCTAACGAGATGGATTGCCCAGGTGGCATCATTGATGGCATCAAGTGTGGCAGTGGTAGTGAGGTTGGCCCAGGATTGGACATTGTTTCATTCTGCTGTACATGGGATCGCTATGAGTCGGTTCCAACTCGATGGCACCTGACAACAACAACAACAACCCCCTATGGTGGGTAGTGTGCAAAATGGAAATGTAAGAGTAGTTTCTAGAAAGGAACTCATCTTCGTGGCCCAATCTTCAACCAAGTGGTAGATAGGTATATGGGGGGAAGAGGAAGACAACAACTCTAGTAAGATATGGAATAGTCAATCATTCAAAATCAAAAGGTCAACATTTACCTAAGGACAAAGTGGAGAAGGGATGGGAAGGTAGGTGGAGTGGAAATAGGAAGTGGGATCACTGTTGTTGTATGGAGGGGATTGTAATCATTGAGATGAAACCAAGTGTATGACTTGTTGAATGTAAACAGATGATCTTGTCTGTAACCCTTCACTCAATTCATGATAAAAAGTTTAACCCTCCCCCTCAAATATATCTACTGATATCTCTCTCTCTCTCTATCTCTCTATCTGACAAAACTAGAACTGCAAGGAGAAATAGTGCCTTGGAGTTGGTTCCATCCTTGCTGGCGCAGAAAAGTCATCTTTCTCCTGAGGAGCTCAAACCACAGTCCAGTGCTTATCCTACAGAGCCACTGTGCCCCCTAGTGGTTGCCCTGGAATTTGCAGTACACATTTACAACTAATGACACTATGCCACCTCATGAATAATGCAGGTACTTTATGAACGAATCTGTTCAATTCCTCTTTAGTGTTCCTTATAACCTCCAATCGACCATATATTGCTGCAATTATTACTTTTAACATCTATTCATTCAGTCAATTAAGAATAAGAAAATAAAAGGTTTTATTTTATTTGTTGACCCTTAAAAAAAGATTTATCTTAAAAAAAAATGGATAGTTTATGTCTTCAAGGAAGTAAGTTTAGTGGGATTTGCATAAACTGTGATTACACTAAGAGTGAGGTGATACAATGAGGTGACATTTCACTGGAGGAAAAATGAAAAGATTCAAAGCAAATTTGATGAGAGAAGGTAGCATTTGGATTGCACTATGACGAATCTCCAAGGAGCTCTGGTAGCGTAGTGGTTACGAATCGGGCTGCGAACCTTAAGGTCAGCGGTTCGAAACTACCAGCCGCTCCGTGGGAGAAAGATGAGGCTTTCTACTCCCATAAAGATTTACACCCTCGGAAACCCTGTACAGGGTCGCTATGGGTCGGAACCGACTCGACGGCACTTAACAACAACAACATGACTAATCTCCAGGATTCTGGGCATGCAGAGATGAGCACGAGGACATTCAAAGGGGCACCTGTAATGGCAGAAGAGCTGGAAATCATCTCTAATGTTCTGTTCAGTTCTTTTACCTCCTCATTTCTTCCATTCACATCTCTTCACTAGAGAGCAAGTTTCAGAGTGCCTTCAGACATCCATTTCATAGATTTGACATCATGGGTTATTCATGCACAATTGTTATGCCTCCTATAGTCTCCTGCAATATTCTTCTACATGATCAATGCTATCTGTGGGCCACGAATCCTGTTGAGTAATAAACAGTCTATGATTAAATAAATGTGATGTATACTAAGTTGATTAAAGTAAAATGAATGGTTCATTTAAAATTTGCTCAGAATTTGTAACAAGTGAATGCATATTCATAATTCTCTAAGATGAGGGGTGGTTCCGACGTGTGTTCCAAATGCTGTCGCCACCACTGTCTTTCTTCCTTTTTGATACTGTTGAATGTACAGTATAAAAAATGCTACATTAGTTAAAATTGACTGAAGAGGATCATTTCAATATGAGTAGATGTATTCTACGCATTTCTCAATTTCTCATGTCCTTGGAGAAAGCAGTGGAGTTGTATTGGGTTGTTGTTGCTAAGTGCCGTTGAGTTGGTTCTGACTCATTGTTACCCTGTATAGGGTCTCCGAGGAGTGACTGGTGGGTTTGAACCACCAACCTTGGGATGAGCAGTCTAGTGATTATCTTATAGGCTCACACCAGGACTCCTGTAATGAGTTGTTGTTGTTAAGTGTTGTCGAGTCGGTTCCGACCCATAGCGACCCTGTACAGGGTTTCTGAGGCTGTAAATCTTTATGGGAGCAGAACGCCTCATCTTTCTCCCGCGGAGCGGCTGGTAGTTTCGAACTGCTGGCCTTAAGGTTCGCAGCCCGATTCGTAACCACTACGCTACCAGAGCTCCTTTGTAATGAGTTAGCAGACTTCTTTTCTACATCTCAACTCATTGATCTTTGCAAAAGTCCATGAGATAGGTATTGTTAATGTTGTCTTTGCTCACAGACAGGAAATTTAGACACAGGAAAGTTAAGTAGCTTATCCAAAGTCACTCAGGTGGTAAAGGTAGAAATGATATTTGACCTGAAAAGTGTCATTCCACAGTCTGGGTACTCAATCATGTGTGCTGTTAGTATCCCATGTTGTTGTTAAGTGTTGTCGATTTGGTTCCAACTCATAGTGAACCTAGCTCCTCATGTAAGACTGAATAAATCATTTCACTTCTTTGTACTCCATTAAGCTAATAATAAATTAGGGATAACATCTACTCTACATGCCTCACTGAGTTATTGTGCAACCTAAAACCCAAAGGTTAAAGTAAAATAAAAGATGCATTATGCTTGCACAAACATCCAAATGGAGATATGATTAGATCAGATGGCTTATTTTTTAATTCCAAAATGTTTATAGCTGTAATTGGTTAATTGCCTTCCAGTTGTGCTTCACTACATTTATCCTGCAGATTTTAACTTGTGTTTCAAAGGTGCTGTAAGAACAAACATGTCTTCTGCTCTTCAGAAAAAACAGTAGCCTTATTTTTTTAAAAAATGTTTTTATTGTGAATTATGTGATAGTTTACATGGGAGAACATTAGCTTTACATTCAGCCTATCGTATATATCGTTTCATTGCCATGGTTACAATCCCCTCCATGTATCATCAACCAACCAAACAGTATACCCTGCAAGACTGACCCTCCCTCTCCCATGCCTTCGGTCGTCAGCACACAGCCCCTCTCTGTCTCTGGGTCTAAAGTTCCTAGCTGCTCCATCTCTCCACGTCATTGTCTCTGCCTCCATCTCTGGCATCACTGCTTCTCTGGGTAGGGTCTCGCACTCCGCTCTTCTCCCTTGATGGTTCCAGGGACCTCCGCTCTTGGACTGCAAAGTCGACCACTCCCTCCTTTTGCTACAAAATGTCTACCTTTACGTTTCCAACCCTCACAATCAGTCCTGATTGCTGAGAGCCGTTCCACTTCTGCCGTTTGACACAGTCCCTGCAAAAGGAGAAAACATCAGCACAGCAGATGATTTTTGGAAGGGCACCCTTTATCTCTCTTCTTTGGGGTTCTGATTCTACTTGTGGGATATATTGTACTGCCACATTCACAGCTCTTACTGCGAGTTCTGTAGAGTTTAGGAAAAGCCAGTCTTGCAACAATTGTTTCAGTTTCACTGGATTAGATTCAAAGAGAACTTCAGACAAATTAGCATGACCTATTCCCTCTCACAGAATACAAAACAGCTGCATTTATGAGAGCACAGTTGTTGTTGTCTTTAAGTGCTGTCGAGTCGGTTCCGACCCATAGCGACCCTGAACTGTGTTTCTGAGGCTGTAAATCCTTACGGGAGCAGAAAGCCTCATCTTTCTCCCGCTGAGCAGCTGGTAGTTTCGAACTGGTGGCCCTGCGGTTCGCAGCCCCATTTGTAACCTCTATGCTACCAGAGCTCCTTATGAGATCACAGAAGCAGGTAAAGCACTAAAATAAAGCTGACTGACCCCTATAGGCCCTACCTAAGTCAATTAGCGGCCAGAACCCACAAACCCCCTACTACCACATACAGGAACCTATGTAATTGGGCAAAGAATGGTTAACATAATTAAAGGTGGTCAAAATTTAATAATCTATGTTTCCTGCAGCAATTAATCAGGTTGGGCCCTATAACATGCCTCACAGGCCCAAAAGAAAGAAACATAGAAACACTGTAGTGAATACTTTAGAAAAACAAAATAATTAAGTAGATGTTAGTAATGCTTTTATTATAGAAAATAGTAGTACATTATATAGCATAGAAGATTGGTAATTAGCTAGTAGAAACAATAAGGTGGTGTAAGCAAAGATGATTGAGTCGATAGAAACTTATATTAGAAAAAGGATGTAATCAGGAGTTTGGGAAATGGAAATGATTTGTGTAAGATTTAACTTGGGGTTTGGGAGGTGGAAATGATTTGTTTAAGGTTTAACCTGACCTTTTAGTAGGAATAAGAGAAGACAATCTATCACTTACGTAGAAGAGGAGATGATGTCAAAAGGAAAATGCTTAATGGTTAGAAAATGAACAGAATACTGGAAAGGTCAGGTGGGACATCATAGAAATACTTTTGTTAAGGTTTTATAATCACAGGGTGAAAGAATGTTATGATTAAAAACGTGTAATAATTCAAGGGAAAAATCAAAGTTTCAAAAATCATTATGCATTGTATAATTTTAAGTATAAATAAAGACTGTTGTTAAGCTGGGGAAGTGAGCTCCATCAGCCAACTAAGCGGAGACTCCTTGATTACTTTCACTTTCACCGATTCTGGGTCTTCTCTCGAGTCTCATGACCCTGCGAGAGCTGAACTCCCGTACCCTATAACAATTATTTACTATTGTATCACAAGAGACCTATCCTCA